AGGGCAAGGACATGTGGCCGAGCCCAGGCCCAACCTGAGCCTACTCCACGGGGCCCAGAGCAGGTCGGGGTCCAGAGGAGACCACAAAAGAGAAGATATTACCCTGCTCGGATCAGAGCCCAGCGCCTGCACACCAATTTATGCCTGATTGTCCTCAACATTGCCTCCCAAATGTTTTATGGTGGCCATAGGGACCTGGGCCTCTTAGAGTTGGTGCCTATGGAAGAACAGATATCTGAGGAATCCTCTTCTGGAGAATCTGTGAACTGAGTGGTTAGTGATGGGAGTTTTCAAAGGCAACAGATATTTGAAGCAGACTGAATGGGCCTGGACTGAGGACAAAAGGACAACTGATCTTTAAATGCCTTATTGCATTTAATGTGATTGGGATTTGAACAACAATAGCTACTCCAGGGCAGGGACGCGGACTTATAAAAAATATTGGGGGGGCCCGGGAAAGCTCATGAATAATAAATAAGCTCATGAATATGCAAATAAAGTGGCGCCGCCTCCTCGTGAGCGAATAGGGGAGAGCGTGCTGCGCCTATTAATCAGCTCCAAAGGAAATTGGGTGGAGCTTTTGCTCAGGAGGGAGGGCAGGAGGCATGCAGCCCGCCCCTCCCTGTGCATTTTGGGCTGGGGGAGGGGCGGCGATGGCGCTCTGCTGGAGGGGCGCCGGAGATTATTGGGGGGCGGAGCCCTCCCAAACGAATTTTTGAGGGGGCTCGGGCCCCCTCAAGCCCCATGGAGTCGGCGCCTATGCTCCAGGGAGACCCAGTCAGGACTGGAACTGCAGTGGGAGCTTAATCCTCACCCACTTATTGCAGTTCTGATGAAAATTGCTCCAAACAAAACAGTTATATCAATGCATTTTAATAGAACATGCAGTAGGCATATACAGTACACTGATAAAATAATATTAACACAGAGAGATGGGTAGTTGTAACTGAGCATAAGTCAAAAGTTGAGGTGACCAATTACCTCCCAACTACATTCCTGGAAAAGCCACTCTGGAGGTTTCCAACTCAAGAGTGGGAGAGCTTCAGATTGGGTCAAATTGGCTCAAAACCTACAGAAACCCCCAAAGGCACATCTGGACGGTACAATACATTACATTATTTGAACAGAGTGCTTTACCATTTGCTAAAGTCTGTCGGAGACATTGGCAACAAAACATCAAGCAATAGACCCGTTTCTGTTTCCCGGTATATTCTGTTACATCAGTTTCTAAGTTAACATTCACACTTACAGCTGAAGGTAGTTTTTATTTGTCCCGTAAGATGAAATCTCCACATGGAGAACAGGAACAGGCTTGCAAGCCGGGAGCCAGGGCGGGTCAGGAGCTCTGGCAGGAAAGCAGGTCAGGCGCTCAGGCAGGAACTGGATACCAACAATGTTGCTCCCAAAACTTGGGACTGGGGCTGGCCGGCTTTTATCTGCCCCGAGGCATAGGGCGGCCCCAATCATCTGGTGACTCGCCTCTCCTGGCCTTAGTTCCCTCCGCCTCTCTGCCCTGAGCCTTTGTAGCTCAGGAGAGGCTGGAAGGTCACCCGACCCAGAGGCAACCTCCGCTTCCTCTGATGGGGCTGAGAGTGGAGCACCTGCAGGCAATGGGTCCTCCATCACCTCAGGAGCCAGAGCAGGCTCAGCTGATGCCTGCACCTGAGGATCCAGCACAGGTGAGGACCCTTCAAGCTCAAGCCCCAGCCCCGGCTCAGCTGGTTCTGGAGGCAGGGAATCCTGTGCAGGCTGGGATCCCTCAGGTTCAGCATCCGAGTCCACATCCCAGGCCATCACACACACACCATTCTCTCCCCCTGCCCCCACCCCACCTCCCTCTCTCTCTCTCTCTCTCTCTCTCTCACACACAAACTATTTGCATTAAAAAATTGGCCTCCTTTTCTCAGTTTGTCTGCCTCTCTGCCTAGATAAAGGAGACCCTCTTGTCATTGTATGCAGAGGAAATACAGAAACCTGTGCCTGTCCAGCGGCTGACAGGGCAGAGCACTGTTCTCAGCTTCACCAACCGATCCAACTTCCATTACCAGCAGAGGCAGTGGTGAGAGTGCTGGGGGCCGTATTCCTGGTGGGCTGGATTTGGCCTGTAGTTCCACATCCCTGACTCAGGCTGGAATTGATTACATTTTGCAGCTCAACTGGATCATATTGAAATGTTACAAAAGCAGAGATGTAAGCAGCTTATGAGAGCAGTAGTATTTCATACTGTATAAGTTGTCAGCACTTACAATGTAGAAAAACTAAACTTCTAAATAGGCTGCAATAAAGTGTACTGTTTGTTTTAAGGGCAGCAGGGGCTCAGACAGTCCGCTGAATGGGTTGTTAAATGATGCTGCTGAATGCAGAGGTCTGGGGAAGTCAGTATAGGGGTGGTCATGGGAAGCAGGCAATGGCAGGACAGGATACGGAGGGAAACAAAGGTAAGCCCTGCTCAAAGATGTTGGTTCAAGGGAAAAATGGGGATAGAAAGAAGAATTACTTGGATTCCAAAATCCAGGTTTGGGGCAAGTACTCTTTGGTGAGAGCACTCCAACAGAGATTTAAAATCACAAAATATGCAGCAAAGCTTGGAAATATAGGCTGTTTGACCTTTAAAATATGCCCTTCTGAGTTCCAAAATGCCCCTCTTCCCCCAGCATAGAAAAAGACCACACATTTGGTAAGTTAAAAATTGGTTTATTTACAAACTCTTCAAAGGTCATGTCCATGTGCTTTTCCTACATCACTCAGAAAAAATTGCATAGGCAGTAAAACTTGGCTTCATTAGAAAGTGGTGAAAGTTCCTTTCAAAAAATCCAACATCGATGGTATCTAACACCATGGAAACTTTCAAAAATGTATAAAAATGTGTCAAGTAATTGTTGGAGATGCGGAGACTCAGGAACATTCTACCATATGTGGTGGATATGTAGGAAAATACAGGTATTCTGGGAGAGTATACATGCAGAATTGCAAAAAATGCTAAAGATCTCTTTCAATAAAAAACCAGAGGCCTACCTCCTGGGAATAACAGATTTGGATATTCCACAAAAGAGGAAGGATATCTTTTTATATGCGACGGCGGCAGCAAGAGTTTTGATCGCAGCAAAATGGAAGAGTAATGAAATCCCCTCTATACAAGATTGTATCCAAAAGCTGACAGAATATGCTGAATTAGATGGTTTATCAGAAAAAATAAAGAATAAATCAAAACAGGAATTTGTTTCTAAATGGGAGGTTTTCAAATAATATCTGAAAAATAAATATAGTAGTTTAAATTCTGTTGCAGCATTCGAGGAACTTCAGTAATAGTTGTAAGGTAGATATAATAAATTAGATTTATTGAGAATAAGTTTAATTATGAAAAAAATGTGTATTGGCAATAAGTAATATGAATTTGAAATATGGAATAGACGGGAGGTTGGCTCTTTAGTGTTAAGACCAATAGATGTTTAAGACCAATAGATGTTTTAAGAAAATTATGTGTTTATGGTTATTTTTTAAATTTGTGTGTAATTTGGTATTTGTGTTTTTTTGTTTTTGTTTTTCTTTCTTGTATAAATAAAATAAAATAAAATTTAAAAAAGAAAGAAAGTGGTGAAAGTTCCTAAATTATTGATATACAAACTTAAGAGAGGCTTGTTAGAGCCATGCAAGCTGAGCTCACATGCTGAGCTTCTCAAGTAGACTGGAGGGAACAAAGGTTTGATTACCTAATTCCTCCCAAGATGGGCTAAGCCTGAAAGAACAGCTTTCTCTATTATTTTCATGCATTACTTAGACTTAAACATGTTGCTTATATAAGGCTGGTTATCCCACAATAAGGAGTCTTTATTTTATTTTTATTTTTAAATCTTACTGAGTAGCACAGGCTTTCCTTAACCAATGACAAATGGGGGAAAGTTGGTGCAATTGTTGGCTCCCCCAGCCCGCTCTGACAAGGAACAGATTTAAATTCTAGACAGGGTTTTGCTGAATTTGTTGCTTGCCTGCCCCATCAAGAAATGGAATTTCTCTTTCTTTTTTGCCCTTGCCACTACAGTGAAGAGGCATGATGATGTCCAGGTGTGAGAAGGGAGGTGGGCTTATGGCGAGCTTGTTCTGACTTGCCTCCAGTATAAGTCAATCACACTTTGGTGGCCTTTGATTTTTAGCTCCTTGAAGATGAAACATTCCACAATGAAACTACACACACATGTAAATAAGATTTGTGGGTTTGTTTGTGTTCTTTTGAAAATGCAAAGACAAAAAAGGAATTATCATTTTTAATTGGCTGGCTAGTTGGTTCAGAGAACAGTAAGTTAACAATAATGGAATACAGTATTAGGAAGGTTTGCAGCTGTTTGATCTATTTGCTGTGTTTAAGGGGCGTGAAACTAAGGGGCTCATACAAAATAAGTTGCCTGCCTTTAAGATAGCTTGGCTCTTTCATTTCAGTTTTTTATGTCCTCTATGCTGGGTTGATGAGGATACTCACAAAAAGGTGATGGATGACTGATGAAGGACCCTGGCTGAGAGGCAGGAAAGGGAAGAATTCCCAGCATGGGAGGCTGGGCGAAGAAATGGAAGCTCCTGGGTGAGACTTGGGATGTCCCACCCCCTTTGGTGTGAGATAAGGATTAAGATCTACCCCTGATAGAGGGCTTTGCATTCTTTCTCTCTCTCTGCTATCTCAAAAGCTTTCAGATTTTTGGGGAATGGTAAAGCAAAACATAGGGATGCGGGTGGCGCTGTGGGTTAAACCACAGAGCCTAGGACTTGCCGATCAGAAGGTCAGTGGTTCGAATCCCCGCGACGGGGTGAGCTCCCGTTGCTCGGTCCCTGCTCCTGCCAACCTAGCAGTTCGAAAGCACGTCAAAGTGCAAGTAGATAAATAGGTACCACTCCGGCGGGAAGGTAAACGGCGTTTCCGTGCGCTGCTTTGGTTCACCAGAAGTGGCTTAGTCATGCTGGCCACATGACCCGGAAGCTGTATGCCAATAAAGCGAGATGAGCGCCACAACCCCAGAGTCGTCCGCGACTGGACCTAATGGTCAGGAGTCCCTAAAGCAAAACATGAAGAATTGAATAAGTAAAAACATTTTTTGAATCTAGTTTTCATTAAAGTGTAATTTTTTTCTCTCTTTAGGACTAGGAAGATGCTGCCTGGGACAATTCTAATCAGGGGCTGGGCCCTATATAAAGTAGAATCACAGCGTCATAGAATTGTAGAGTTGGGAGGGACCAACAGTCCTTTTTTCTAGAAAAATAGGTGCTGGTACTCAGCATGAAGTTGTTACAGTAAGTGCCACCCTTTTAAACAACAACAAGAGGTGCCGCCACTGCGTACCCTTGAGTACCTCCAGAAAAAGCCCTGGGGACCACAAGGGTTATCTAGTCCAGCTCCATGCATTGCTGGAAACTTTTGCCCAGCCTGGGGCTTGAACTCCCGATCCTGAGATTAAGACCTCATGCTGCTTGGGAGGAAAAGGCAGGTGCTAGAGTAGTTCCTATCACAACCAAGCAATGCTGCTGACATCTCCTATCCCACTTCTGCCTCCAATGAGGATTAGGTCTTGAGCAAGGACATGTGTGATCAGTTGACCACTGGTGGTGCATGTTTTTGTGCCTGCACATTTGCAATTCAAGGGTGTGAGGTTTAGAATCTCATTAATGGTTCTGCGGTGCATTGTGAGTGTTTATTGTGGGTATTCCATATATAGACCCTCAAGCTTTAAAATGCCCAGATAAGTTTAATTCAAGAAAATTTAAGGAAGGCATCAAACACAATGTCACAAGTTCCTTTGATACTCATTTTCAGCTTGTAATTAACAGCTGACTTTACTGACTTTTAATTAAACTTCACAGTCATAAAACTGTGTACATATAATAGATCATTGTATAATAAATCATGATGCTGCTGACCTTGAGGCTTAATTGCCTAGCATTAGCGAAGCCCTTGAACTGGGACAATGGTGAAGGGAAGGTTAAACTCTGACCTCCTGAAAGTGGGCAAAACACACCTTTCATACACCTACGTTTAACTGAGTTCCCAGATGAGCTTTCTAAAAACAGCTTCTGCACATACTCTTAACTGCTGGAAAAATGAGTCTTAATGTTTATTTTTCATGAGTCTTCACTAACAGAGAATCTTCTTGCAGCCCCCAAAACTTCGACTGAAAAGGCATCCTTTGAAAGTGTTATAAGAATTTTAAGATTCAATGTTAAAATCTAATTTTAAGATAAGATATATTAGATGTTCATAAACGTACCAAGCAAACACATACAAATATGTAAACCACATGCCTGAAACCCACAGAAAAGTCCTGAAACCATTTTCTCTCTTCCAAATCGACCTCAAATATTTCTCTGCAAGGTCGAAGGAAATGGGGAGCCTCCCATTGTCTCTCTGCTCACAAATCCTCTCTCAAGGGCACATTTAAGATATGAATAGGGTGAGCCTGTGACCCGTGACCTGGATTCAGGAGTTGAGTAGTTATCATAAGAAAAGAGTGGCCAGGGTGCCCAGGTAATCCAATCAAGTAACCTAGCAGACAGGAGAAAAACAACGCACTCAGATTTCTGTTGTAGTCCGCCCCTTCTCTGATGTATTAAGGGGGTGGTCTTGGGCTACACCCCTTCTGTGATGTAGGTATGATGTATCTGGGGGTGGTCTTGAGCTACAGGGTGGGCAATTTCAAAGTCTATATAAAGGCTTGCACACCATTGTCTGGGATCCTCCTCCTCTTTCCTGTGTGTGGGGGGAGCACCTTGTTGCAACAGCTTTAATAAAGATCAGGCTTGTAAGCCGCTTTGCTTTTGTATATCCTGGTCTGGTCTCTGTTCATTTCCCGACCAGTTTGAGCCTTAAAAGGTACGCTCTCTCCAAAGGTCCAGTCTTCCTTAAGAAGCTGAACCCCTTGAAGGGAGCCCTCATTATTCTTATTTCAAAAGCATAACCCATTGAGCACTGGAGGCTCTGCACAGATGCTCGAGTAACTTTCTGGGTGTCTCAGCCCTTCTTCATGCATGAGGGAGCTGTAAGTGAGAGGGGGAGGAGTGGGGGTCCAAATATGTATGGGGGGCACTCTTGTTCATGCTGCTGTGTCTCACTTGCCCCTCTCTTCTGTGCATGTCCGCTGTTATAATATCTGCCATTCTTACAAGCTCCCCCACCCATCGTTTCCCATAGGGAATCTTAAAGATTTTTTAAACCCTGAATCATACATTTTGACACAACATGGTTTATGTTTCCTTGGTGCAGAATCTGGTCTTTGAGTTGGCTACAAAGCTGGCACAGACTCACCCTTAGCCTTTGACCGCTGATCAGGAATTCCAGGGCAAACTATAAAGAGAAAGCAATTGGGGAAAGCGCGGGGGGGGGATGGGGATGGTCCATGATGCCATCCTATTAGATGTGCAGAGTTGTCATGGCAACTACTGCATAATTAAAGGCTCCTTCTCTGTTCTTGCATGCTTCAATTGTGCTGCTGACGGCTTGCATCATCTGAGCTTGTAAAGCAAAAGGCAACAATTTCCTTTTGCAAAAACAAGCTGTATCAGCAGTGCTCTTGTGCATCAACCTGGACACAGTCTTTACAAACAGCGTTTTCTCAAACAACAGCTTCAGCCAAACAGTTTGCTTCCTTTAAGTACAATTCTTCCAATGAAACGGAGCAGAGGAAAAAGAAGAAAAGTTACCCTGAAACGCTCCTATACAGTATATCACTTTTCTGTGGGCTAATTCTAAATTATATTGATCTCTCTGGCTTCTGCCAGCCAGCTTCCACAACAAATGATGACTGGAGATCCAAAGCTCAAGAAATGCGGTTCAGTTTTGTGTGGGATAAAAACAAACAAAAGCAAGCTAACAAACAAGAGTTACAGCAACAGCAAAAATATAAGGGGAGGGGACGGATAAAGAAGGGGGCAAAGCAGATTTTGAGCAGCAAGTTTCTTCTCCCATCTTAAGTCCCACATACAAAATATATTTATATTTTGCATTAATGCTGGAATTCAAAGAAGACTGTGGGAAAGTCTTAGCATACAAAGTGATGTGTTCTGCCCACCTCTTTACAAACAGCTGGGCAAAGATCTTTTCTACTGCAGCATCTTTCATGATCCTTATTCATATAGCCACCTTGGTCTCATTTAGGAGGAGGAATGGGATACAAATTTAATAAAGAAAGACATTATTATGCATTGCGAGGTCATATGGGAGACAGACATAATCTTCTCACCATGCAGTGTAAACTAGGATCAGAAGAAAACACGGTAGTAGATGAACTCTGTTTACTCACAAAAAGTGAAGTCAATCTTGCTTAGGTCACCTCAGGAATGCAGTTAGAGATGGAACCAGAAGTGTGTGTGTAGCTTCTGAGACTACTTCGTTGTTTCAGAGGCTGATGACATGTCCCACCCCTTTGATTCACTGCCTGAGAGTGATTCCTTTTGTTGGTGGCACATAATCAGCTGGCTGATGGCAATCTTTGTCTTCCCAGTTCACAGGGCACAGGGCACAGGGCACAATGAACATACCAGCTTTGTGTCATCATTATTTATTGTGGAATTTAAGGTCAGTCACCATGGATCACTGCACAAATACTGAACAGCCACTATTGCAACTGAAGTCAATAGGAGTTCTAAAGGTAAAGGTAAAGGTACCCCTGCCCGTACGGGCCAGTCTTGACAGACTCTAGGGTTGTGCGCCCATCTCACTCAAGAGGCCGGGGGCCAGCGCTGTCCGGAGACACTTCCGGGTCACGTGGCCAGTGTGACATCGCTGCTCTGGCGAGCCAGAGCCGCACACGGAAACGCCGTTTACCTTCCCGCTAGTAAGCGGTCCCTATTTATCTACTTGCACCCGGAAGTGCTTTCGAACTGCTAGGTTGGCAGGCGCTGGGACCGAACAACGGGAGCGCACCCCGCCGCGGGGATTCGAACTGCCGACCTTTCGATCGGCAAGCCCTAGGCGCTGAGGCTTTTACCCACAGCGCCACCCGCGTCCCGTAATAGGAGTTCTACTATGGAATATAAATACAAAAGTCTCTGAACAGTAATCCAGGAAGATCTAAGACTAGTCACACCGTTACTGCTTGACTGGAAACCTGATCTGAAAAAAACCCAGCAGAATCCTTTGACTTCTGTGACAGTTCAGAACTTTTAATGTATTTGAAAGTCAGGCAATGTTGGCTTTGGAAAAAGTTCAGGAAAGGATGATGGTTTCACAGGTTTCCCTGCAATTCTGTGTAGTGACTGTGGGGTCTGGCCATGAGGGGTGAGATGACGCCTTTCAAATTTCTTAGTAAGGTAGCCTTTAAATAAATTTGTAAATGATAAATAAAAATACATTATGGCAGGAGAGACGGGAACAAATATACTAACTCTGCGTATTAACTGAAGTCCAAGATTTTCTATTCATCAGTGTAAAAAGCATTTCATGGATTACATTTTTAAATGTAAGTGTTTTAAATGAAAAAAATTGAACATGTAAAGCGTGAGTGTGTCACCCATGTGGATAATACATGATTTGTTGTAGCTCCTTGTTGAGTGTACACAAAAATGTACATTAAGTGATCCCCCCCACGCAACTGGCTCAAGAGAAAAGGCCCTTTGTTGCTGTCAATAATAGAGTGGTCATTTACATGTGCCAAAAATAGAACACAGATTTGCAGAATGTTTACATATGATTATATACACATAACTTTATAACATATGCAAATTTATAAATTATAATAATTCAGTATGACTCACCATAGTGGAAAGATTGTGATCAGGTGAGCTCTGTGCTTGCTCAGTCTGCTCTGCAGCTGTGCCAGCTGTTGGCAGGTGTCTTCAAGGCTCCTCCTGCCAGAGGCGGAGCTGGCTGTTCCACCACCCGCAGTGGTGCACATGCTGTGCACCCGGGGGCGGGGCTAGCCGGCTGCAGGGGCGGGGCGAGCATCCGGGGGGCACTGCCCGCAGCGAGCGGCAAGGAGCCCAGGGGGTGGGGCGGCGATGTCACCCCCCCTCAGGGATGGCACCCGGGGTGGGCCGCACCCATCGCACCCCCTTCCTCCACCAATGCCTCCTGCTCTCTCTTCTCCACATTTTTTATTTGTAAACTGAGTTTGGATTAGACAGTGCATCATATAAAATATGCCTTCAAACTGAGGATTGACCTATTTAGTCGGACACACGGCCAACCTAATAAGCAGTTAATATTTCAAGAAGCTTGACATTCTTACTCTAGTGAATCCGTGGCTGAGGCTGATAGAGTCCAACAATTTGGGAGGGTCACAGCTTAGCCACCCCTGCTCTGGTTTAGTGCTTGCTTGTTTTGCAATTATGGCTTTCCCTGCTCTCTTTTTGTCTCTTTTTGTCACCACGCACACACAAAGATTAATTTGCATACATGCTGTCAAAAATCTGGAGACAACTAATTTCTATGATCTCATCTCATTGCTGTGACCTTAAGCTGATAAGTTGAAATTCTGAAACGAGCAACCCTTTTCTAGATCTTTCTCCTCCCCATATTTCATAAGGCGCTGCCTCTAATGAGCTACATTCTTTGCATGCCACTCCTATTATCTGTCTAAAGACTTTCCATCTTCTCACTCTTTGCTCTGCCTTTCTGAAACCAGATGAACATTCAGAGGAGCAAACTGTTAAGAAACTAACTTGAGGCTGGTGGGGGGTTTTGCACAGAAGGAAAGAAAGAAGTAACTTGCTCTGAAATTGCTGATTTATGTTTAGTTGTTTTTCTCCAGGGGGACCTTCTGTTCTCACTTTTCTGTTTATAGACTTTGAGAGTTTGTCAAACTCAGCATTCACATAATCTTACTCTTGTGCATCTTCAATCTTCGCACGCCCCTTTACATAACAGTTACAGGAAGGCATTCTGGCCAGAACAGAAACTAAATTTGGCGAGAACACCATCCAATGGTGCAACCGTTAGAAGTATGTTGGTTTATTTTTATTCTCAGTCCCCTAGTCTTTCAGGCTTCTGTCGTTGCCATTGTCCACTTTGGCTGGAAAGGAAAACAAGGGGAACTGGGTAGGTTACTGTTGTCATTTGGTTTGCTTGTTCCATGTTTATAACACCCTTTTAATAACAAGCTTAGGCAATGTACATGGCCCATGTTCTTATCCCCAGATCAACCCTGTGAGGGAGGTGAGGCCAGAGATAATGATTGCCAAGGTAATCCAGTGGCTCAGCAGAGATTTGACATTCAGTCTCCCTCGCCTAAGACAACTCTCTGGTCACCACACCACACCACACTAGTTTTAGTAGTTGTCCTTAGCAATGTATTAGTTACAACTCTCCTTCATGGATCACGCCAGAGCCTAGCGTGCTCTGGTCTATGGGGTCACAAAGAGTCAGACACGACTAAACAACTAAACAACAACAGTTACAACTGGGGCCCGTGACAGAATGTTGCAGCGTCTTTCCACCACTATTTTATCTACTTGCTTGCTCGCCACAACTGTATGGCCGCTTTGTATGGAAGAGTTGCAGAAATTAAAATAAAAAAATCTAAAAAGAAGAAGCATAAAACTTGCAATGAATTGAAAAAGGTATTTAAATATACCTTCTTGAAGAAACCAGAGGCCTTTCTCCTGGGCATAGTTGACCAATCGGTGTTAAAGAAGGATAGAACTTTCTTTATGTATGCCACGACAGCAGCAAGAATACTTATTGCAAAGTATTGGAAGACACAAGATCTACCCACCCTGGAAGAATGGCAGATGAAGGTGATGGACTATATGGAACTGGCAGAAATGACTGGCAGAATCTGAGACCAGGGAGAAGAGTCGGTGGAAGAAGATTGGAAGAAATTTAAAGACTACTGTCAGGGAACTGCCATCGGAGGAACAGGTGGTGGAGGGGCTCAGGGAGGCTGGGAGAGACTCAACAGCTGAAGCAGGAACCAGCCGGGGGAGGAGTGGATCTCTGAGGGAATGCGAGCAGGAGGGAGGGCTCAGAGACGCTTCCAGCGAGAACAGTGGGGAGGTATCTGAAGCTCCCATAGGGAGACCCACGCCTCGCCGGAAACTGTCACGCCGTGAGTCCAGAAGACGTGTTTCCGTTAAGGAGCTGTTATGCTGGAAACGATTCCGAAAGCAACCACTGTCGGAACCTGCAAGTGACTAGAGCAGCCATGTCTGAGGGGCTCCGTCACAGACAGAGGTTTGTGAACGTGCACAGACTCTGAGGGACTACGCTTTTACGCACAAGCAGCTCATCATCCCATCACAGCATTCCGACAGTCTTTGTAAGCTGCTGGTGCAGGAAAAGGCATCATGAGTGACCCAGCCGGAACCGGAGGAGCAGGGGTTGGAGCTGGTCCAAGCTTGGAAGAAAGGTACCGAGCGTTGGAGATCCAACTGGCGCTGCAGACGGCGAGGCTTGAGGAGAGAAGGGCGCAGGATGCAGACAAGAAGGGGAAAACCACCCAGTTCACCAGAAAGGTACCAGGATTGGTGCAGAAGTTTGGGGGGGACCCCAAGGACTACCATGCCTTTAGAACAGAGATGCAATATGCTCTCAATGTGCAGTTTGAGGAATTCCCTGACGAGGAATCGCGAGTGGCTTTCGTGATTGGGCATCTTGAAAAGGGGGCGCGGGACTGGGTTCGGCCCCTGATGGCAACGCATAATGACATCCTAAAGGACACAATGAAGTTCTTTCGTGCAATGGATCTCATGTTTTCCAGCGATATTGAGAAGGGAGTGGTGCGCAGACAGCTAATGGCTTGCAAGCAGGGAAGCCGATCTGTCCGTGAGTACTGGACTGAATTCACCATGCTGGTGCACAGATTGGGGTGGGACTTATCGGCGGAACCCATTCAAATGCTTTTTGAAGAAGGTCTTGCTTCGGCGGTGAAAGATGAGCTTTCCCGGGGGCCCAGGGCGGATTCTATGGATCAGCTGACCAAATCTGCGCTGACCATAGGAGCGCGCCAGGAGGCGAGAGCTTTGGAGAGGCGGGAAGGGAAGGGGGAACGTTGCAAGGAGTTCCGCATTCCAGACATTCCAGAGCCAGCTTTCCCGCCGGCAGAACCGATGGAAATCGGAACAGCGCGCGCGCGCGCAGTTTCAAAGCCCAGTGAAGGGGGGAAGAAGGAGGGAAAAGGCGCCCGGAAATGCTATCTCTGCCAACAGCCAGGTCACTTTGCCAGAGTATGCCCCCA